AGTCCCTGGGCTCCTGGAGAACACATCCCCTTCCCCACCTGCCACCCTGCACAGCACTTTGCCCCAACCCCTGCCCCCACTTCTCTCCTGACCCTGTCAGCTGGAGTGGGGGCTATGGCTGGGTAGGCTGCGTGGGTCCACGTGAGTTGACTCCTGAGAAGATGGGAGGCAGTAGAGATTAGGCAAGATGGAGCAGGACCTGGGGTGGGGGACAGGGAGAGGGAGCCTCAGGAGGGGGGCAAAGTTCCGAAGAGGGAGACAGAGGACCACAAAAGGGTAGAGACCCAGAAAAAGAATCCGAAGCTCTGACCCAGGGAAGCTGGGGGCTGAAGGCGGGTCAGCGGAGTGAGGCTGAGGGTTGTGGTGGGTGGCAAGGGAGAGGCAGGGGCTAGGCGCATGGGTTTGGAGTGCAAAGGGAGGGTCTCCCAAGAATATCGGGGGTTGAGGGTCCGATTGGGGCAGGGATGGTGGAATGCAGGCAAGAGTAGGCGGGGATCTGGGTTCAAGAGGAGGCGGACCAGCAGGTGCGGGAAAGCGGAGGAAGAAATGGAGGGGTCCCGATGGGGTGCGGCAGAGTGGGGGGTCCGGCGTTGCCTGCCCCCTACCCGCCCGCGGACTCTCCCTCACACGTTCTCTCGGCAGCCGGCCCAGATCGGATCCTTGCGCCCCCTGCCCCCGGTCCCAAGGCCTTCCGGTCGCTTCTGTCTCTCGATCCATCTCTTCTGGGACCGCCTCCCACTGCCCCCTCCCTCGGGAGGCGTTGGGTCTCTGTCCTTAACCGGGTCCGTCCTGGATCTTGGTCTCTCTTAGCCTGGTCTCTACTAGTCTCATCACATCTCTGAGTCTATGTCCCACATCTCTGTCTCTCGCTGTCCCCTTCTCTAAGTCTCAATTTTCTGTGGCCAACATTTCCCTCCTCCCCGCTGCCCCCTCCCCCGCCCCGTCTCTGTCTCTCTGAAGCCTGTCCCTGTGTCTCCCCTTCTCCACATCCCCATCTCTCTACATCTCTGACTCCATGTCTCTGTCTGTGTCTCTTTCCTGGGTTTGCTGTCTACAGATCTCTGTCTCTCTGAGTGTTTCTGTGTTTTCCCCCCTCACCCCGGACTTCCAATCTCCCTTCCGGTCCCCCACTCTCTCTCAGTCCCGGGGGGGGGGGGCGCTGCGGCTGGAGCTGTGTGTTCCCAGCACAAAATAGACTCCTGTTGCCATGGCGACGCGAGCGCGGCCTCCAAGACGCGATGCTTCAGGCTGAGGGATGAGGAGGGGGGACACCTGGATCCGGAAGGCGGGGGCCCGGGGCGCCAACGCCCGGTCCCAGGGGCTTCTGGAGGAGGGGGAAAGCTGGGACTCCTAGGTCCCTGGAGAGAGGGTGCTGGGCGCTCTGACGCCGGGTCTGGGAACCCAGCCTTCTAGGAGGGGTCTGGGATCCAGAGTTGAGGGGGCTCTGATTCCCCAGTGGGGGCGGGCTGGTTGAGAGCTCTGACACCTGGGTCCCTGGGAGACTCAGAGGTTGTCTTTTTAGGTTCCCAAGGTTGGGGGTGGGGTGGGGAACAAGGACTGCGAATCTGAAGGGGCTGAGGGCCCTTGACTGGGGCCGGGGTCCGTAGAGTCTCCACTCCCAGATTTTCAAGGAACCTGCAGAACCCTGGGAGCCCCCATGTAGATTTTCTGACTCCTGCGTCTTAGGGGCACAGGGACCACTCAGATGAAGCTGTCTGCCTTTCTTCCCATCCGCTCATCCATTCATCCACATGCTAGTCTCTTCCTCCCATCTCCATGTCCCTCGTGCCTCAGTTTCCCTCCTCCCCTGTCCGCACGAGGTGCGGTCGCGCTCACCTCACTTTCCGGATGCGGGACCCTTGGGGAATCTGGGGTGGCGGCGGCGTGGGGGGACAGCCAGGGGAGACAGAGCTAGCGCGTGTCTGCAGCCGGCCGGGCTGGGCGTGCGCGCGCTGGTGGGGGGCGCCCGGCAGCGTGCTGGGCAACCTGGCCAGCAGTTCTTTTCCATCCAGATGTGATAGGACCAGCCCTTGCCTTTGCCTCGCGCCAGCTTGGCGCTGAGAAGAGGCACCTCCCCCTCCCCACCTGCTGGGGACCCCGCTTCCCCACGCCCGCAGCCCCCAGTCGCCCCCCCAAAAACCCAAGAATGGTTCGGTCCACAGCCACATGAATGTTTATTCCGCGAGTCCGGGTCCCACAGACTGTGACACTCCTTCCCCCTCCTTTTCCTGCTTCTTGAAGTGGCCCGGGGCGGAGCCCCGCCCCCAGCACAGCTCAACCAATGGCCATCCAGCTTCCAGAGTTTAATTTGCATTTCTGGGAGCTGCCACCCAATAGCAAGGCAGCGCCCGCCTTCCCTCCCGAGGGGGAGGTACTCCCGGTGGACTGCACCACTCTTGGGATCCTAGGATGGGGGGAAAGCGCTTCCACCGAGGTCCAGGTGACAGGAGAGGGTATCCCCTCCAGGCAGGGTGGGAGTTCAGGGGAAGAGGGGATTCTGGCCTTGGAAGAGGCTAAGCAGCCCGCTGTCCGGGACGGGCTCCTTGATGATCTTCTGGATCTGTTGGGGCAAGACGGAGGTCAGGAAGAGTCCAGGGTCAGGGACACTTGTCCCACTTTTATCCCCCTTGTCCTCTTGGCAGCAAATGGTCAAACCAACCGCATCCTCTTCTCAGAACTTTTCCTGGGGCCTCCCTTTCACCATACCCACCTGGGTTAGCTCCTATCACCTGCCATCTTGGTTTGCATTGCTGGCTTGGGCCACTAAGGGTAAGGGGCTTTGTCTTGGGACTTCTTGTCTACGCCTGCTCCATCTTAAGTCATCTCATCTCTCCCATCCCCCACCTCCCAAATCCAGCCCATGCCTTGCCCCTCAACTCCAGACTCATTTATCCAACTGCCTCTTAGATGTTGGTCGTCCCTTGACTTCTCAAATTCACTGTTCCGTCCAAATCAGTAGACAACATGAACACAGCTTCCCAAGCCGACAACCTGGAGCCCCTCTTTGTGCTGCCCTCTCCTGAAGTCCCACATTGACTCCATCAGCAAGTCCCTTCATTAATTACCTTCAGAAAGTAAACAGTAAAAATAAGCCAAGCCTGCTTCCCAACACTGCCACTACTTTTGTCTCCCTTATTCCTGACACCCACCCATATCCATTGGCCACCCAACACCAAACCTGTGCAAGGCCCCTAGGCTGCCCCTTGTTAAAATCCCAAATCTTTAGGAAGACACAGCTTGGGCTCCTCCTTGCTTCCCCTCCTCCACACTCACCCAGCATTCATGTCTTGTTCAGTCCCACCTCCAGGCCTTTGACCCAGACAGTCCCTGGGCCAGGAAAACTTTCAGCATGACTGGCTGCTCCTCTCCTTTCAGGTCTCTGCTTTAAGGCCACCTCCCTGGACAGGCCTCCCTGATGCTTATCTTATTTCTCACACACTCAGCACATTCCCTTCCCAGCTTCAGGCCACAATGTGTAATGGAATACAGATTGGCTTTTGCTGTTGCCCCAGGACTTGTCACAGTGGCTGGCACATAGTAGGTGTTCAATGAAGGCTCAACAGGACTGAACTCATAGGAAGGGAAAGGGCAGAGCTCGGAGGGCCAGGAATGTCAAGTTCCAGTATGTCCTGTTATCCTGCAGGCCTAGGGTGTGAAGCAGTGGGGGACTACCTGGTCAGACCTAGGAAGGCCACTGGGCAGTGGATGTGAAGGCTGGGCCGAGAACCAGAGACGAGATGAGGGGAGGGGAGAGGTGGAGGGTTCCAGGGGCCCCCATCAACAGGGCCTCTGCTGGATTGTACTTTCCAGTGTCTGCCTGGTTCCATCCCGTCCTCACTTCACTCCAAAATCACCTTCTCCCACCACCCTGTGCAAGTCCCTCCCTGCTTTATCTCTCTAGTCCTCACTGCCCACCATCAGCTTCTCCTCTCATTGATTTATGGTGTTGACATGGTGTCTCCCCCCAGAGAACTCAGCCCCCACTGGAGGCAACAGCCTGCCGTGTTCCCAGGTGTATGTATTCCCGGATGTATTGTGCAAAGACATGGTGGGTGTTGAGAAGAGACTTGCTGGATGCACGGGAGGTGGAGGGTCGGGGGCCAGTACCTCCTTGAACTGGGGGTGGGCCGCATCACCCACAAGCTGCAGAATGAGCCCTTCGCTGGTAGAGAGAAAGGCGCCGCTCTGCCTCATGCGGGCCAGCGCCACCAGCCGGTCCACCTGGCTGCAGAGGGTGGGAGGGTGTCAGCACACAGCCTGGACATCCAGACTGCTACCAAAATCAGCAGGGATCCCACCCCCTGGTTCTTTCTGGGTTTCCCATCCACACCCCACATGCACCCATGCACCCACCCCTCGAGAGACCCTCTCACCTGCGGGAGGTGCAGGCGTCCACCACCACATGGACTTGCAGCCCCCGGTCCAGGAGGTCCAAGGTCGTGTTCTGGGGGCAGAGAGAGGTCAGGGCTGACCCCAGACAATAACACGGGTCCCAGGTGAGGGACCGGGGAGCAGGGATGGCAGTGAGGGAGGCTTAGACAAGAGCAGGATAGGTGCCCCAGGTAGAGTGAGGTCATGAGTGGGGATCAAGTCTCAGGTCAGGAGGGGGACATAGGTCAGGAAGGAGGTTCTGCTGGGAGGATAGAGGGTTCTGGGTCAGGAAAGGATCTCCTTTTTAGAATGGGGAATCCCAGGTTAGAGTGGGGGGGTCCTCAGGGGTCAGTCAGGGTCTCACCAGGATGCAGGCCTGTGTCTCGATGCCACAGAGGAGCACAGAGCGCAGCTGAGGCCGCGCATCCAGCTCCTGCCGCACCACTGGCACCATGCTAAAGCAGGTCTTGGGCAGTGGCTGCAGGCCCTCGGCCCCTAGCTCAGGCACTGTGGGGCCCAGGCCTTGTGGGTACTGCTCCGTCAGCACGACTGGCACCTCCAGCAGCCGGGCCACCTGTGCCGGGGAAGAGAAACAAAAGCTTGAGCCCGAAGGAGGGCTGGGGGCTAAGACTCCTGGTCTGAGGGAGGAGGGACTGTACCTTGAGCATTCGGGCGGCCACAGAGACGATCTGGGGGAAGTATGCAATATGACGGAACTTCTCCTGCATGTCACACAGGAATAGGATGGATGATCCAGGGAAGACTCGGCCCAGGCCGGGCCTCATAGCCGCCATATCCTGAGGATGGGCAGAAGGGTAGAGGAGTGGGGTCAGGCAGGGTGTGTTTGGCTTCTCTGCACATCCGAGGTCCTGGCACTTAGACCCTTGAGGGCCCTTCGAAGTCCCTTCTTCCCACCTGAAGGCTTTGCATCTGCTGTTCCTGGGCCTGGAACAGTTTTCTTAATGTGTCCTATTTAGCCAAGAGGTCACCTTCCTGGGAAGCCTCCTTTGATCCTCCCCGCCTCCTCCCTCTCCCTCCTCCCAGGATGTCAACCTCGCTCCCCTTGGAGATCTGGGAAGCCTTCTCCTTCCTGGAGATGGCATAGTGTATGAGGACTTCTCCCATCTCCATTACCAACTGTCCCACTGCATCTTAGGTTTCAACTGTGACCCTTGCCCTGCCCCCAGAGGGAAACTGAGGTTCAAGAAGTGCCCTGGCATGCCCAGTAACACAGGGAGCAGCACATGATTCCTGAGAAAAAGTTGCATTCTCTCCAGCTGTGCCTCCTTCCTCCTCATGGCCGGGGGTGGAGCAGCAGTGCTCTGGGCGTCTTCAAGTCGGCTCTCCTACTTGGCCTCTGGAACTCAGTTCACCCATGTGTAAAATACCAGCTGAATCCCCTTTCAGGTCTGAGAAAGGCTGGTGTACTCTACAGTGGAATATTACTCAGCCACAAAAAGGAATGGGGGCCTGACACACACTGTATCATGGATGAACCTTAATACAATGCTCAGTGAGAGGCTAGTAACTAAAGGCCACATGGTGTAGGAGTCCATGTGTTTGAAATGTCCTCAGTGGTCAAATCCTTAGAGACAGGAAGAAGATTGGTGGGGGCAGGGGCTGGGGCTGGGGCAGTGGGATTGAGGAGTACTGCCTAATGGGTTTACATTTACAGAGTTTACATTTGGGGAGTTGGAACCGTTCTGGAACTATATAGATACGATGATGGTTGCACAACATCGTGAAGGTACTTAAATGCCACTTAATTGTATATTTTTAAATGATCAATTTTATGTTATGTGTATTTTACCACAATTTTGAAAAGAGAAAGGGTGGGGCTGGTGGAGGTACCAGGGGAGGCCTGGAGATCCAGAGGGGCCCTGACTTGCCCAAGATCCCACCCACAGGGACTAGAGGCCTGCCTGCCTCCGCGTGACAGTGCCAGGAGGGCTCCCGGAGTCTCAACCATGTCCCAGCCATGTCCCCAGGACGCTGTGTCTCTGGGTCCCCGAGCTGTTGCACAAATGGGGGTTCAGCTGAGATTTTGTTTGTAGCTCTCTCCCACTCTGCGGACTCACCCATTTATCCTTTAATTTACTTGGAAATCGAGGCCCTACAGACCCAGTGGAGGAGGGTAGGACAGCTACCATAGCTGACGGTTGGGGGGAAGTTGTCAAGCAGGGTGGTTCAAACATGCAGGTGCTTATAATTATTCTTTCAACTGAACACATTTACTAATGAAAATGTTCTGTGTGACATATCTGCAATTGAAAAACCTGTGGATGGTTGAAATGGCGGGTTTTATGCCATGTGAATTTTATCTCAAAAAAAATAATGGTATGCTGGAGCTGGGCTGCTATGAGTGGCTAGGCTGCAGCCACTGCTGCAGTGGGTTGCCATGGGCTACCGTGTGTAGCCAGCAGCCAGCGAGAGAGGCCAGCAGCCGCAGTGAGCGGCCGTCCAGAAGCTGGCGACTGATCTGCCTTGTCCAGGAAGAGCACAATGGTGATGCCAACTTGGGCCAGTGAAGCAATGTCCTCCACAACTAGACTGAAGAACAAAAGGACAGCGACTTGTCTGTTCCCTTTCCCCCAATTCCCCAATAAAAATCTTTAAAACTAAATAAGTAAATAAAATAATGGTATGGAAATGCTCTCCAAAACAAAAGCACACTGAATTAATTAATCGCATAATTACAACTGTGATCCAAGCTGGGGTTTGTAGGGAATCTGATCTGTCTTGGGATGGGCAAAGTTCTCCCAGATGAACTGAAGAGAGCGGGAAAACAATCTATTAGAAAACACAAAGCTACCCTGTTACTCCCCTGTCTCAGCCCCCTACCATGCTTCTCTCTGTCCTCAGGACTAAGATGTGACCCCTCTCGCAAGGTACTGGGGACCGTGTCCCATCTCAGGGCCTTGGTCCATGTAGTCCCGCCACCTGGAGTGCTCTCACTGCTACTCACAGTGCTGACTCTTGTGGAGGTGGGGGAGGAACAGGGCTAGATCAGGCCAAAATGTCCAAGAGCCTATGGCAGGTGTCTGTAGCAACCAGGAGCTCCTATTCAAGCTAGTAGGAGACCTATGGAGAGCCCCTAACATTTTGGCCACATTTATCAAAATTATAGATACACGAACCTCCTGACTCAGAAAACTTCTGCTATTTATCCTGCAGACATGCTTGTGAAAGGACACAAAGTTATTCACTACACAACTCCCGCAGAGCAAAGGAGTAAAAATCCATCTACACATCCAAGGTTAGGGTACTCCTTAAGTAAGTTATGGTATATACACACTATGGAATTCTTTGCAGCCAGGAAAAATTACAAGGAAGCTCTGTAAGTAACAATACGGAAAGGTGTCCAAAAGATGTTAAAGTGAAAAAAAAAAGAACAATGGTGTGCATACCCATGCTCCCATTTGTGCCCCCAAAAAAGGAGGAAAAGAAAGTGTGTGATGGCTGCTATCTATATCAGCTCTAGGGGACAGGGACGGGGATGGAGGGGGAGGGAGGGAGGGAAGAGGTCACTGCGAGACAGTGTGAAGGAAATCTGATTTTCACTGTGTACCATTCTGTTCCTTTTGCATTTTGGACAATGTGTAACAGGTTGTGTAGTCGGGAATAATTACAGTGCAATGAGATTTGCATAAGGTAAAAATCCAGCCAAACCCATCTGCAACGTTAAAGATACGATAAGTGGTTATCCTTGGGGGGCAGTGGCAGTGACTGAAGGGTACAGGGGGCTTCTGGGGTGTGGGGGATGTTTGACTTCTAGATTTGGATGCTGTCTACACCAGAGTGTTTGCATTGTGAAGTTATTTGAGATGTGTATCTGTGATTTCTACATTTTCCTGCATATGTGGTATACTGCCATTAAAAGATTTCAAACTATAAAACAAAATAGGGGAGGCCTTGCTGGCTGCTGTGGGGCTTGACTGGAGGCAGAGGCCAGGGAGAAAGCTGGCGCTGGGTTCCAGCGGGGCAAGGGTGAGGCCTGGGGTCCAGTTCAGGCAGAAGGCAGGACAGAGGGATTCAGGGGGTGAGTGGGACTGGCTGTGGGGAAAGGGGAAAGGGGGAAGAAGGAAGACCCCCAGGTTTCTGGTCTGTGGATGGCAGGTCCCAGGGACTAATTGGGGACCTGGACAGGAAACTGGTTTTTGGCAAATGAAAAACTGGAGATGGGGAAGTATGGGTGTGAATGTGGGAAGTAGGTCTGGAGACAGATTTGAGGGTGCCGTGGGGGAGTGATGAGAGGGTCAAGAACAGAGCTCTGGGTGGGGGGAGCCCAAGGCCGGAGGAGGAGGGGCGGCCGGATGTGGGCAGGAATCTGGGGGGCAGGTGGAGCTGCTTAGATCCCCACATGGTCTCCGGGAGCCCAGCCCTGCAGCCCAGACTTTGTGGCTGTGTGACTCTGGGCAAATTTCATGCTCCTTTCGAGCCTCGGTTTCCTCCTCAGAGAAATGGGGGTCAAACCCACCCACCCCGCAAGGACAATGCGAAACTTGGCCCAGGCGCGACCCGCGGAGGGCTCGAGTCCCTGGCCAGCCAGTTCTGTAGGGCCCGGGCAGGAGTTCTCGCCATGGCTGTGTGACCTCGGCACGGGACGTCCTGGCAGAGCCTCAGTTTCGCCACCTGCAGGGCGGGAAGGTCCTGCTCCCCCAGCGCCGGGGTGGGGGGCCCTACCCAGCATGCACTGAATTCAAGCCCTACCCGCCGCCCCTCCGCAGGTGAGTCCAGGGGTCACTCACCTCTCAGAGCCCGGACTACCACTGCTCAGGTCCGCCCGCCCAGTTCCCAGGAGGGGTCACCGTTTGGCAGGGTGGATACACGTGGCCCTCCCCCTGCGCTGTCCGCGTCCCGCCCACCCTAGCCGAGCTGCCCAATCGACACTGGCCCACCTCTGCCCCGCCCCCGATCCCGGCCAATTCACAAGCACTGCTCGCCTGACAGCGTAATTGGCCCGCCGGGGTGGGGGGCGGGAAGCTAGCAGTTCCGACTAATGGGGAGCCGTAGAGAGCGTGAATGACGGGCCCGGGGCGGGGCAGCGCTGTGGGTGCTGAGAACACTGACTTTAGCTGTAGATGTTGGTGGCGGACCTTCCTCACTGTTCACTCCAAATCACTGAGGCCAAGGGAGGGAGGGGCCGTGCCCAGGGTAGGGGAAGACTGGGGGTTCGAACCCTGGGCTTTGTGTTTACAGACAGAACGTTACAAAGAGACCCAATCACTTTCCAGGGAAGGGTTGAAGGCAGGATGAAGCCAGGAGCTGAAGTCCTCCTCTCTACCCCAGGACCCGCAGTCTGTGCTCTGTGCAGCCTGCTTCCCTATCCGTACAGCACTTGCCTCCTAGGGTGATGTTTCTAGTATTTAGACTTTGTGCTTGGAAATGGGGTTGAGAGAAACAGACAGATAGAACTTCCTGTCTGTCTTGGAATAAAATCCAAATTCCCAATTCATGCTCTGTCTTTGTCAACTCAACCTCTGCGACCTCATCTCTCACCACTCCTCCGCTGCTCGCTCCACTCCAGCTACGCTGGCCTCCACTGCTGTTCTCCAGTGTCCCACCTCAGGACCTTTGCATGGCCAGGTCCTTCTTGTCATTCAAGGTCTTCCCTGACCACCGGTGTCAAATAGCCACTTGGTCAGATTGTTGTTTTATTTTCTCCAAAGCACAAATACCAATCTGAAATTGGAAATTTATCTTGCACTTTAAAAACGTATGGATGTATTCATTTATTTTCAGTCTCCTGACCTTGCTTCCCACGCCCCCTCAAATGTGAACTCCACAGGAGTAGAGATCTTGTCTGTTTTATTCACTGCTGAATCATCAGCACATAGTAGGTGCTAAATACATCTTTGGGAATAAATGAGACCAGACCAGACATTAGGCATAGATGAACCAAGGTGAGAGGGGGCTAGAGTAAAGACTCTGAAGTGATGGGGCTGGGTAGGTAGAAGGGAGAAGGTGGGGGAAAGAGAGAGCGAGGGGGTCCCCTGGAAGAGGCAGAGGTGAGGCTGTGGTCTAGGCTGGGAGTCTGGGTCATTTTCCTAGGGGTTACCAGGAGGGAACAGGGGCATCCTGGGGGGGTCTGCAGAGCTGTCATAGGGGGGCCTCTGGTTTGTCCCAGCACCTGGGCTGGGTTGTGATTGGGCATCATGGGGGGCAGGTTTCACAGCCCTCAGGGATCCTGTGAGAATGGCAGGCACAAGGCACCTCCCATCTGCTCACCCAGTCCTCCTTGGGAGCCAAGAGTTTGTCTCCTCCTCCCAAGGCATATGGGGTCAAGGGCAAGGGATCATAGAAATGTGGGGCTTGCCTGAGGGCCAGCTGAGACAGGTCATATGGCACTGAGGGATGCTCTGGGGTGAGTGCAATGTCATCAAAGAGGTCGAGGGTGGAGGCATCCAGCGCAGTGGGGCTCAAGCTGGGGCTGGCATGGGGTACCTCTGTGGGGGCCACAGCACGAGCCACTCCCAGGAAGGGGGATGGAGGCGGCAGGGGCGGCCTTTGGGGTGGTGGTCTTTGGGGAGGCGCCTCCTGGGACAGGATGGACAGGGCTAGGCCCTGGGTGGCAGCCTCAATCTTGGCAAACTGCCTGCAGAGAGAAGGGCATTATTAGTTCAGTGACCGTGAAGGAATCTCCTCCATCTTTCATCCCAGAAGTGGTTTGACCCTTCTTTCCCTCCCCATTTTTCTTTTCTGTGCTAGTCTCCCTGACCCTGGGCCCATTTCCTTGAGTCTGACAATTCAATATTTCTGACTCCATTCGTAGGGAAGCTCTGAACAGCTGTGGGGGTTGTGCAGTGCACAAAGCAGCACGTTTCGTCCAGCACTATGTACATTTTTGATGTTTAGATTTATTAAGATCACGTTCCAACATATAGAAGTAAAAAATGCCTTAAGGATAGGGTGTCTTTAGAAAATAACTTCACACAAAGGTGTGCTATGAGTTAGCTGTGTCTCTGTAATAGTGACGCCCTGTGGATTCTCTTTCTTCTTAGCTCTTGGATCTGCTCACCTCTCAGCATCTCCACCCACCTCTGGCTGGAGTCTCCAGCTTCTTCCACCTGGACGACTGCACTGGTCTCCCCTCAATAACAATAGGACGATGGGTCTCACAAATTGTGATGGGCTGAACTGTTTCCCCCTGAGATTCCTATGTTGCTGTCCAACCCCCAGGACCTCAGAATGTGATTGCATTTAGTGATACTGCTTTTAAAGAGGTAATTAAGTTAAAATGATGTCATTAGGGTAGGTCCTAATCCAATAGAACTGGTGTTAGGACACAGAGGGTGGACCACGTGTGGAGACAGGAAGGAGATGGCTGTCTATACCTGCCCACACCTTGATCTTGAACTTCCAGCTTCCAGAATTGTGAGAAAGTAAACTTCTGTTCTTCAAGCTGCATGGTCTATGGTGTTTGATTAGTGCAGTTCTAGGAAAGTAATGCCTAAGCATAATGTGAGCAAAGGTGGCAAGACTCACAATTAGTAGCTGTGTGACTCCATTTGAAAGAAAGTTGAAAAACTGGCAAACCCGACTGACAGTAAGAGCCATCAGGATTGGCAGCTGATGGGAACTACACACTGCTAGACACTGGACAGGAAGTGCTCTGTTCCTGGATCTGTGTATTGGTCACATTTGTGGGTTCCCTTAGGAATAATTCTTCCATTTCTACACTGACACTTGTGTGCTATTTGTATGTGTATGAACCTTCCATGAAAAGGCTTATTAAAAAAATGTCTGATATCATATAATTCTGTTTATAAAAATGTCCAGAATAGGCAAATCCCTGCAGACAGAGAGCAGATTAGTATCTGTCAGGTGCTGCGGGGAGGGGAATGGAAAGGGGCAGATAATGGGTACTGGGTCTTCTCTGGCAGTGATGAGAGGAGCCTGGAACTAGATGGAGATGATGGTTGGAAAACATTGTGAATGTATGAAATGCCACTGAACTGTACACTTTAAATGGTTAACATGGAGAATTTTATGTTCTGTGTATTTTACAACGAGAAAAAAATATATATCTGGCTCTAAAGTAAACTAGTGAGAGCTGTGACTCACATTTTGATGCCAAAGAGGATAGTTAAGCTCTGAGTGCTCCAGGGAAAACTTTGAGAAATGAGAGGTCAAGTTAAGTGAGAGGGAGAGGGAGGGAGGGAGACAATGCGAAAGAAAGATAGAACTAGAGCTAGAGCTGGAGCTGGAACTGGAGGTAGAGCTAGAGGTGGAGATGGAGATGGAGACGGAGACAGAGACGGAGCTAGATGTAGAGGTAGAGGCAGAGGAAGATAGACAGATAGGTAGTGGGCCGGCTGAGTGGCATGTTGGTTAGGAGTTGGCTTGGGATGCCAGCTCTGAGCAGCAGGGCCCTGGTTTGGATGCCACATGAGGACCAGTGACGCCGCACCCTCCATAGCTAAGATGGTGAACAACAGCTCGACCTGGAGCTGGGCTGCCGTGAGTCGCCGGCGACAGTGTAGGCTGCAGTGGGGCTGGCTGGCAGTGGGCATGAGCTTTCCTGAGCCACCGTGAGCCGCTGTGAACCACCGTGAGCGGCCGTCCAATGGCTGGCAAGCGACTGCCTCACCCGGGAAGAGCGCAACGATAATGCCAATATGGGCTAGTGAAGCGACGTCCTCCACAACTAGACTGAAGAGCTAAAGGACAGCAATATGTCTGTTCCCCTTGCCCGATTCCCCAATGCTGTTCCCCTCCCCCAATTCCCCAATAAAACCTTAAAAAAAGACAGATAGGTAGATGGATATTGAAAAAGACAGAAACAGATAGAGATAGAGGTAGAGACATAGAGAGAGACAATTAAGATTCACAATCAACACATGTTCTATATGGCCCCCGACTTGAACAAATTAAGCATAAATGACATTAGGGCTGAAGAGCCATGACATTTTCAATTTGTTTTAAACTGTTTTAAAAAAACTGATGAAGAATGCTAAGACGGTAATGGACAGTAGGATGTAAGTAAAGGTATATGAGTGATCATCAGGACATGGTTCTTAACAGGACACACCTGGAGGGCTCCTGCAAACACAGGGTCCCAGAATCCCTGAGTTCCTAGTTTTGCAGGTCTGGGCTGGGATCTGAGAATTTGCATTTCTAACATGTTCCCAGGTGATGCTGAGGTGTGATGCTGCTGGTCTGGGGACCACCTTTGAAAACCACCACATCAGACAACTGTCTTGACTTTTCTGTAGGTTTGAAATGTTTCATACTAAAAAGTAAAAAATTCATAGGCATGGGTGGGAGGGGGCTCCTGCGGGAGCCAAGCTGGAGGAGGCCTGGAGGGAGGAGGTCATGAGTGGGAAGATGCTGAGGAGAGCTTGCTTATGACCTGGATTTCTCTGGCTGAGCCTGGCCACTTAGGGGAATGTCCTCTGAGCTTCCCAGCTGCCCTCAAGGCTCTTAGTAGTGTGGAGCTGGGTCTCTGGGGAGCATGTGACAGAGCCAGGCACAGGGGTGGGGTTGTCTGGGATGCTGTGGCAGAGAAGCTGGCCCTGGGAGCAGAGAGCATGAGTAGGGGAGGACGGGGAACCTAGGTGGTGAGGGGTTCGACATTAGCATGGGGTCCAGGCTGGTCAGGTGCAGGGAACCCAGATGGAGGCTGAAGATAGGGAGGGGCCTTGGAGCAGCTGAAGAGGAGTTAGATGGCCCTATTTGGGGAGCTGCGTATTTTCCTCTTCAGTGATGGGTGTGTGGTTGTGCTAGTGAGCATTTTGGGCGTGGCCAGGGCTGGGCATCCTGGTGGAAGGAGGTTGTGGTGTGGAGAGAGGGGTTAGGCTGGACCAGGCTCCCATTTACTCAGGTTTGGTTCTAAGGTATCCTGGGGCAAGGTTGAGGGCTGGCTGGGAGGACTGCCTACATACAAAATGGAAGCTCTTTGGATGAGTTACTTTACCGCTCTGTGCCTCAGTTTCCTCACTGAAAAATGAGGATTAGTACCTACCTCCTAGGGTTGCTGTGGGGGATTAATGAGTTCACACTTATTGTGAGTGACAATTATGAATTAATACTAAAATGCTTAGAAAGCGGTCTGCCTGGAACATATTGTCAGATACTATGTGTTAGTATTATCATTGCCACCATTATCACCATCATCATACCATCACCACCACCATCATCACCATCATCACTATCACCATCATTTTTACCATCATCACCATCATCATTATTGTCACCATTACCATCATCACCAACATTGTCACCACCATTATCACCATCATCACATCATCACGTGCCTGAGATGCTGTTTCCAGGCAGGATTGCAAAATGGTACAGAGCCTGGGCTTAGACTGCCTGGGGTTGTATCCAGTCACTAGCTGTGTAGCCTTGGGCAAGTCATTGAACCTCTCTGAGCTTCCTTGTCTGTTATACAAGGATAAAGACAGAACCTGCAAAGCAGGTTTGCTGGGAGCTTTAAGTGCCACATGTCATGGCCTTAGTACGGTATACCTGGCACACAGCAAGTGCTCAAACAATAGTTACTGTCACAGGGTAAGGAGAGAGCACAGGTGGGACTAGTGGTGTGTGAGAAGGAAGATAGGCTTGAGCAGAGACCTAAAGGAGTGGAGGTCCCCATCCACACCCCCAGAGACAGAGAAGGGCATTGCCCAGCAAAGGGAACAGCATGTGCAAAGGCCGACAGGCTGAATGACGAAGTGGTAGATGGGGAGCCGGGGCTGATAGGCCCGGGCCTTTGTCTTGAGGGCAATGGGGAAGTATGGGAGGTTCTTGAGGAAGAGAGGGACTAAATGCGGTATGTTAGAAAGGCCTGCCTGGGCACAGCCAGTACCTTGCCGCCTTCAAAAAGCCCCCAAGTCAGACCTCATCGCTGCACCCCAGCCCCCACCNTGGTAGATGGGGAGCCGGGGCTGATAGGCCCGGGCCTTTGTCTTGAGGGCAATGGGGAAGTATGGGAGGTTCTTGAGGAAGAGAGGGACTAAATGTGGTATGTTAGAAAGGCCTGCCTGGGCACAGCCAGTACCTTGCCGCCTTCAAAAAGCCTCCAAGTCAGACCTCATCGCTGCACCCCAGCCCCCACCCTGGTCTGAGCCATCATCATCTCTGGCCTGGTCTCTTACTTTCACCCTAGCCTCCTACGCAGTCTTTTTTCCACTCAGCTGCCAGAGATATCCTTTCAGATCCCCCCACACCCTTGCTCAGAGCCCAGGTCCCTCCAGAAGCCTATGAGATCTCTAATCAGTCCCTCATTCTTTTGAAGCCTAATTTCTTCCCCCTATCACTCTGCTGCAGCCACACTGGCCTTGACCCCACCAGGGATATTCCTGCCTCAGGGCTTTTTCACTTGCTGTGCCCTGCCTGGAATGCCCTTCCCTCAGCCATCTACTGGGCTCCTTCCCTCTGTCCCCCAGGCCTCTGCATAGATGTCACCTTCTCAGTGCCACCTTCCCCAATGACACCTTACCTAAAATGCCAGCCCTCCTCCAGCAGGCCCTCCGCAGCACTTACCACCTTCTAACATACCCTATAATTTTTAAAAATTGAGGTAAAATTCACATAAACCATTTTAAAGTGTGCAGTTCAGTGGCATTTATGTAGAACACTCGTGATGTTGTACAACCACCATGTCTATCTAGTTCCAGGATTTTTCATCACCTCAGAAGGAAACCCCGTTACCTATTAACGATCACTCCTGTCCCCCTTTCCCAGCCCCTGGTACCTTTGCTCTGCTTCCTACATCTGGATTTGCCTGTTCTGGTTCATATACAGGCAACCCACTATATGTGGCCTCTTGTGTTTGGCTTCTTGCCCTCAGCATCTTGTTTTCAAGGTTCATCCACATTGTAGCATCACATGTACCACTTTATTTCAGCTGCCCCTAACAGGCTGGCTTCCCCCACTGGACACATGAAAATAGGAAATGTGGTCAGCTTTGTTCACTGATGGGTCTCTGGGGCCTGGCATGCAGTAGGCATTAAACAAATGCATGCTGGGTGTTGATTGCATCCAGCCCAGGGGCCACTTCTCTCTATTCTTCCTCAAACCCAGGGCTCTGATCCCTTCCCACCCACCCCTCCTCAGCCCATCGCCCCTCACCTGCAGATCTGGTTGTGTAAGAACCTCCTGTGGTTGGGCTTCCTTTTGGTGGGTCTTGTCCGTCGGGGGTGCAGGGCGCGCAGCATGTGGGCAGCCGCCCCACTTACGAAGGCACACAGTTCCCGGGGGCTGGGTTCAGATACTCCAGGGGCTGCGGGGGCCCCAGGGTGCATGTCTGAGGTGCCCCAGGGGTAACTTTCCACAATATTCCTGCTGATCAGAAAGCACCCCTCCAAATCTGTGAAGAGACAGGGGCAGCCAGGGCTGGGGGCTCAGCGCTGGAGAAGGGGACAAGGAAGGATGGTCTTTGCGAGGGGTGGGTGGACTCTGGAGGGGAGGGCACAGCCTGGGCTGCAGGAGATACGGCCCAGGGAATTAGGACCAGGCATCCCTCCCGGGAGCTGGACCCTGAGTTCTGAGGGACAGTAGGTGGGGGGCTGATATAGGAAGGCAAGGGGGAAGGCAGGGGAGAGGACTTTCTGTGCGCCCCCAAGGACCCAATTAGCACATAGTTGGACCTGTGATATGGGGCAGGATGGCGTAGGTGGGGGGAGGCAGAGAAAAGCACCTGGAGATCGCCAATTAAGGTGACAAAGGCCTCAGCAGGAAGGCGATGCCAGGAGCTGAATCAGAGTCAACCACAGCAGTTAGCGTTGAGGACCCTTAATTGGAAAGGGGTGAAGGGGGGGGCATTGGGAAGCTTAGGTGCAGGTTGGGAGGGGGGACACATACAAAAGCCTTGAGCTGTGGCACAGATACCCCATAGCTGCCCGCCCACCTCCAGATACACCTGCCCTGCCTTCCTGCCTCCCTCTGCCCCAGGCCCAGCATCCTGGGGAAACTGAGGCTCAGAGAGGAGATCGCATGCTCAAGGTCTCCAGCCAGCAGGAGGAATTAGCTTCTGGTGGGGGTAACCCCCAAACCCTGCATTTGGCACCCGAATGCAGCCAGTGAGCAGGGTAGGGGGGCGGGGCACCTGTGGGCTGGGCCTACTTACTTAGGTGGGTGACATTGGGGGCTGTTTTGGACACAACCTGGCTGTGGTGAGAGACAAGAGAAAACATGGGCTCGGTTTCCCCCAAGGCATTTTATGGAGAGGTAGTGGGGGCACCTGGTGTTTGGAGAGGTAGAGAACTGCTGGGGCTGGCAGGTGGAGGGGCTGGCTCCCAGGGTTGGGGGTAGAGTGGGGTCCTCTTGTCTTTGGGCAGGTTGGCCAAGTGGGCTGGCTGGTCTGGTGGGAGTGGGCACATATCAGTGTTGCTCTGAGGGGACTGTGTCGGGGGTCTGCATCTGGAGGTGTGCATGTGTCCTACGGCTGTTGTGACACATGACCACAAACCTAATGGCTCAAAACCATACTCATTTATTCTCTCACAGTTCTGGAGGCCAGAAGTCCAAGGTGGGTCTTATGGCGAAAATCAAGGTATTTCTTTGGAGACTCTAGGGGAGAATCTGTGCCCTTGCTTCTTCCACCTTTTAGAGGTCCCCTGAAGTTCTGTAGTTCATAGCCCTGTCTTCCGCGTCTGCTTCCATCATCCCATCTTGTTCTCTGACTGTACCTTGTGTCTACCTTTTATAAGGATTATATTTAGAGGCCCCCCAGATAACCAGCATCATCTCCTCCGCCCGAGATCCTTAGCTCAATCATATCCGCAAAGACCCTTTTCCATGTAAGGTGACATAGTCACAGGTTCTGTGGGTTAGGACCTGGGCGTCCTTGGGGGCTGTTATTCAGCTGCCTCAGGCGGTGAGAGAAGGCCTCAGGGGTGGCTCCTCCCCGGCTCCCCTCCAGTCAACGTTCACGGGGCCAGTGGTTGCAGTTGCTAAGGCTGGGTCTGGGGCTGTACCAGTGCCCCAACATCTGCACAGGGAGAGAGACACAGAAGAGTGAGAATGTTTCCTGGGGCTTCCGAGGGCCCAGGTGACTCGCAAAGGCCTCCCTCCCCTGGCACAGACAAGGATTACTGTCACTGTTTCCTGAGGGAGAAACTAAGGTCAGGGTGCATAGCCACGCAAAGTCACAGTGGCAGAGCTAGGATATAACCCACGTGGGGAAAAATAGGAGGGACGTTAAGAACTTTCCAAAGCTCTCATACTCATTAAGTATTAAAGGGTAATATTTCCATATCTTTACTATAAAGGTTCTTTTTTTCCCAAATGATACCCTGAAAAAATCAGCAGCAGTACATTATAATAGACTATGGTGGAAAACCACCTCTGGCTGGAAGCGGAGAATAGAATAAGGGTTCATCTTGCAATGAGTGCTGCCAGATGTCAATACGCTATAACCACACCAAAACGTGGAATGTTATGAAATTAAAAACACACAAAACCCTGGTGCTGACACTTAGAGACCCCATGTCCTTCCTGATTTAAGCCTCAATGACGTCAGGGGTAAAGCTGAGATAAGAAGGTAGCATAGGGGAAAACTGAGGCTCCATGACTAATCCATGCTCACACAGCAAGTAAGTGGCAAAGCAGGGGTTCAAGCCTGGTCAGTGGAGGCCCTGAGACCACGTCCTTGGGCAGGGGTAGCACAGTGGTGGCAGCCCAGAGCCAGCAACAGGCGGCTGGCGATGTCCCCAGAGGTCCTGTGAGCGTGTGTGGGTCGCAGAGCGTGTGTAAGGTCAGCAGCTGTAGGTCCAGAGGCGCCCAGTTTTGCCCTCCCATGCCCAGTACCAGTAGTGTGTCACCACAAGGGACTGGGGGAAGTGGACCCCCGGTACTCTGGAGGATTGGAAGTCAAGCCCCCAGGGCAGACAAGGCTCCAGGGCGTGGTTCCAGGGCGGACTCACATCTGCCACCAGGAGCCAAGGACAACATTTACTGGTCAGCTCTGTGCCACGGCCAAGCGGGGCCTGAAACACACCCAGGGCCACTGGCCCTACAGGCTCTGACCTGATATGTTCCACCAGGGGGCGCCAACACCCCGGTCTGGCACTGGGAAGCCCTGTGCAGGGCATGTGGCTTGCACTGTGGGCCCTTCTTTTCGTGTCTCACTCATTGGTAAGAATCACTCACAGCTGGGGCCGCCCTCATCTGGTGTTTGTTGAGGACCTGCCCTGCCAGATAGTGAAAGGTATTCACACGCTGCTTTCCTCTACCCCAACCCTTGCAATGGGAGGGGGCATTTAGTCATTCAACAAACATTTACTGGGCACCTGCTGTGTGCAGAGACTGAGGGTGTAGCAGTGAGCTGAGGAAGTGATAATTGTCTTGCAACTTGAGTGGGAGAGGCAGCAGCCAGGAACCTCCCAGGCTGAGGGCACAGCAGGTGCAAAGGCCCTGAGGCAGGAGTAAGCTTGACTGGAGAGAGAGAGAGCAATGGGAGGAGGTGAAGTCAGAGAAGCAGACAGAGGCCAGACCTCAGGGCTTTGTAGGTTAGGTAGGAATTGGGTTATGAGAGCAAGAGTGAAGAGGAGCCATGGAGGGTTTGAGGCAGAGATAGTGCCCAGACCTCAGGGCCCTGCCCCTAGCCTCCTTTGCAGGCCTCACTGCACCTGGAATGTGGACACCTCACCTCTAAATCCTCCTCTAGTCTGGGGATGGGAGAAACTGAGTTGTCAGGACCAGCCAGGAGCCCAGACAAGGTTTGTCCCTCCCTGCTTCCACCCTGCTCATCTGCTCTCTCTCTCACCCAGGCCCAGAGGGACTGTGTTTCCCTTAAAATATATTGTAAAAGTTTACAGATGGTAGGGTCCTGGTGGCCCTCACTCAGAGAGGCCAGCCCTGTCACACATGTTTCACATCTTTTCTTCTGAGACAGAATGCGACTGCATGCGGAGATAAGGTCTTTAAAGAGGTGACTGAGGTAAAATGAGGTCATTAAGGTGGGCCCTAATCTAGTATGAATAGGGTCCTACTATTAGAAGAGATTAGGACACAGACATGTACGGAGAGAGGACCATGTGAGGACACAGGGAGAAGACAGCTGTCTATAAGCCAAGGAGAGAGGCCTCAGAAGGAATTTGCCCACCTGACATCTTGATCTTGGACTTTTGGTCTCCAGAAATGAGAGAAAATGAATTTCTGTTGGTGAAGCCCCCCACTCTGTGGCACTTTGTTATGGCAGCCGTAGCAAACTAACATAAGAAGTGTAGTAGTTACTTATGCTGCATAACATATTACCACAAAACAACAGACACTAATTTTCTCCCAGTTCTTGTGGGTCAGGAGACCAGGCACTATGGCTTAGCTGGGTCCTCTGCTCACGATCTCACAGACTGCAACAAGGTGTTGGCTGGGGCTGTCGTCTCATCTGAGGCCAGGGACCCCTTCCAAGATCACGCGGCAGAATTCATGTCCCCACATCTGTAGAACCCAAACAGGCTGTGTCTTTAAGGCCTGTAGGAGAATCGCTGATGCTTCACATCTCTGCCCTCTAGACCCAATGTAAAGAGCTCACCTGATTAGATCAGACTTATCCAGGAAAATCCTCCTGTATTAGGGTTCTCCAGAGAAACAGAACCTATAGGATCTATATGTATCCATATCTATATTTATCTATCTATATAGAGAGACACAGAAGTAGAGAGATATTCTATATATTATATACAGAGCGTGCCAAAAAAAGAAAGGACAAAACTGTATTAAAATTGTAATACTCCATATATACCGATAACAAAAGATGAATACAACTCACATTTGACTTCTGCAATTACAAGAGGTGCTCAAAGTGGTTACCATCAGCACAGTTTTAATAGTTTTTTCTTTCTTAAAATGTGTATACACTGAAGCTGATGTTGTATAATATTGTACGTTAACTGTAAGTGAATATATATATATATATATATATATATATATATATAGTCATGGGACATGGAGTATAGTGTGGGAGTGGAGTCAAGGGAATTGTAATAGATATGTGTGATATTGGGGGGGGAAGTG